ATTAAAATATTCTTTTACTAAAATAAAATTTATATGAACTATTTCTTATGTCTAATTGAACAATAAGCTTACCTTCTGGTATAATAGACTTAAAAATAATTTCAAAACAAACCTTCAAGTTTTAAATTGTTTCATTATCATTTTCAAATAAATTGGTTCCGATACTACTACTTTTATTTCTCAGTTCTTCTGAGGTTGTTTAAAATGATACGAAATAAAGTTGAATGATAATCAGATTATAATGATAATTAAAAGAAATAATAATTTTTATTTATTGTTGTTCATTTTTATCAAATATTCGTAAGTTAGTTTTCATTTTCACTATTAATGAAATCTTCTGATTTGAAGATTTTATAATAAATAAAAATATTTATTACTTAATTGTTTATTTATTTTAATATTTCAATTGTTTAGGGTTTAACATAAAATAATATTTATTAATTTTTTTTTTTTTTTGTAGTCTTTGAGTAACTTAACATTTTAAGCTATCAATAGCCCTTAATAAAAACTTATTTTCACTTTTAAAATTGTAATTTTTAATTATTTTTAAATTAAAATAAAACAATACTATATAATAATATTAATAATGCATAGAATAAATGTGTTTCTATATAATTGTGATTTTATAAATCTTTAATAATTATTGAAAAAATTTGGAAAATTCACTTTTTATATTTAAAAAGAAAAAAAAATTATTAATCTTCATTATGTAGTACTACTCAGTATAGGCAGCGTATGTTATATTTTCTACTAAAAATATAAAGTTTATTTCATGATGTAAAAGACAGTAGATCTTTTGATTAAATAATAATATTGTTTAAATAATATCACTAACCTAACCCGAGTATTCAATTAACTTGATGATTGTAAATTTATTTTTATTATGTTTTCAATTTTAAACTTCATGATCAGTGGGTAAAAAAATATAATTTTATAAAATTACACTAATAAGTATTGTATACACGTTTGCTATTAAATTGCCTATGGTATGCGCCTGTGATATGTTTAGTTACAAACTTCATGAATCATGATGATAGCATATTTTTTATTTACATTACCTGTTTGTTTATTTTGTACTAAATATACTAATATTTGGTACACAATATAATCTTAATCAATTGTTAAAAACTAACGTATAATTTCATGGAATTAAATATTCGTGTTATTATAGTAACTCTAATAATAATGTAATAATACGAACTTGCCAAATACATTATTGAACTAACTAACTAGAATATTTTTTGTACACAATTTTACTAACGAGTGCATTGAATTACCCAACATTTTTGTATCTGTATTTTAATAGATATTGGCGCTTAATTTGAATTGACTTCAAGGATCATTATTTGTTTTACCCTTATTCAATCATAAGTGATTATGAAATTATGTGTCGTTTATGAATCATAACACATAAGTATTTTAAGTTATAACCTATCATTATTACTATTATTATTCAATTGAAATGTTTATGAATCAGTTACGGTTTAGTGGTTTCGCCGAAAAAACTATTTAAGTTACGATATCGATTATGAGCTATTGAAAAAAAAAAAAAGGAAAAACTGTTGCTTTTACCCTATAACTCGATTTGTAAAGGATCGCGTGAGAAGTCGGTCGTACAAATTAATGTATGTCGTCGTTGTCACTATTCACATAATATAGCCCTTTGTTACTATTACCGTGGGTGTGGCATGACCACCGTACTATGTACGAGTATGACTACTTTTTATTTCTACTGTGATTGTAGTCGAAGTTAGACTTATCGTCATAATGTCTTCATCTATCAACAAACAAATTGTTATGGAATTATTTATAATAACAACACGTTAAAAAGGACAAGCCGTAAAATGTAAGTACTAATACAAATTCAGAGTTATGCGCTTATAGGCTACCGCATTAATAATAATAATAGTGATATATATATAGTTTAAAACTGTATATTATACTTTGAGTTGAAAATAAAAAGTTTGAAATAGTGATACGAAATATTATATTATTATATTAAACACTGTACTTATTTATCAAACCATATATTTGTATTGGTTTTAGTTGTTGTTAAAATCTGTTGGTGTGGTAAAATGATAATAATATATCATGGAGGATTAACAGAAAGGAAAAGATGTCCCGTCTATACAACCCGTATTAATAATAGCATTTGAACGTATACCTATATTAGTTGATAATACATCCATACCTAAACATATATCATACAAAATTTAAGTAAAATACAATAGTAAAGTAAATCGTGCAATATTATTATTTTAAAAAACTTTCTACTCTAAATTTTTCAATATTTTTTTAATTTTTTTTTTTTACGTAAAATAATAAAAATTAGATCATCAAAGTTATAAACATAAAAAATAAAAACTTTATTTTAGAGTTAAATTTTTAAGCTAAAAATATAACGAAATATTTCTGTTATAATGAATTATTAAAAAAAAAAAAAAATAGCAATAATATAAGTTATATACTAACAAAATGTAGTGACTTTTCAATACAATTATGATAAATCTATATTTATTCTTGAATGGGTTTTATTTTTTTTTTTTTTGTATTGATAAAATTTTATAAATATTTTTCGAATAATTAATATAATAAATTAATGCAAACTGTTATTTATTATAATATTTGGACTTATTTAAATTAAATTACAATTTATTTATGACCATAAATATATTGAGTACCTCAAAGTTTCTTTTAATTTATTATCTCGTTAAAATAGCTTTGTTATCATTATTTAAATTTAAATACTTTTTTGTTAAATTATGTTTATTAATATTAATTTATACAATGCAATATTGAGGTAATTAACTATATTTATTTATACGATTGAATATTATATTATATTGTACAAAACTTGTTTTTTTTTTTTTATAAAATATAATAATAAAACATAAAATATATTTATAGAATAGAGTAACAATTGTTGGCGTCAAATTATGTAATAATGAACTATTTTACTAATCGTGAAAGATTGATATTTTTGAGGAAATAATTGAATAATTTCTCTCGTTTGCATTTTTGAAGACATCATGGTAGAAAATATGTTATAAATCATGTATGGGTCTCAATAGTGTTATACACAGATTGCAAGAAAAGTAAAAAGGCTTGACTGATAATGATAATTTTTGTGCACTTCGTAGACAGTTTATTTTTCGATATTGGTAGTGTCTTGCTTAAATGCATACATTTTTGTCATTTTACAATATCGAATAAAAAATTTTTATTTTTGTTATATTCAATACCCACAACATTAGTGGCCATTCATTATTATATTTTCTCTTCTGTACATTTATAATTCTTTAATAATTCTTGAAGTGTTAACCGTTAAATTTTACTATCCAACGGGAAAGAACATCTGTTGGCCCATAAGCCGCATACAGTCAGTATACTATATTGGTATGGTCCGCGTTACCTTTTAAAATATTATAGTTTAAAAATTAAAGTTACGTGGTAGAACGCTGGAATAACGTACCGCGTTCATCTATAATTCTTCATTTAATAATATACATTATACATGAACACAACTTGTAGAACGTTGAAATTGATCCTTATCTGTAATCGAACTCATTTTGATTACTAAATGTCTAAATATAACATATCCATAGTGAATACTAATATGTTGTTATATTACAGTGTAATCAGAGTAGTGCATTAGTAGAATAAATGATGGTTTGATTAATTTTTTGAGCAAGAAACAATTGTTCATTAATTTATTTTTTATTTGATTAATTTTGTTTATTTTCATTCATTGTTATAGTTGTTAGGATTATTCGTTATTCATTATTTTAGATTTAATTATTTATTACATATTATTCAGTTTTGGATTATTCAATATTCATTATTCAACATAAACGTGTTTAACTCGAATACTTCGTAAATTATTTTTATAATTTAAATCGGCGATTACACTTCAACAACGGTCATTTTAAGAACAATACTCATTTCGAAAACAATCGAGACTGTGATACGACAAGTTTTATCCTGCGAGGTGAGCAATGCGTGTGAGCAGGCATGTGCCTATAGTGCCAAGTATATAGTTCTATACTATAGTCCAAAAACGATTATACATTTAACTATTAGCTTCGCTGCATGTAACTTCAAAAATTGATACAGTATTTCGAGATCGAAAACGGTTACTTTTAGCTGAACGTAAAAGTTTACAATTTTCTCTATTATAAACGAAATCGAACGAAAAAACCTTTGCAGTTATGAAAAGTTATGCTGTTATGTAATCTTCACGCATAATATATAAATATAAACATATAAGATACAACACATTTGGAAAAACAATTGTATCGCAGAAATCGTGTTTAATGAACGGCATAAGTATAAGCATTCCTTGTGACTCCTCCGTGTAATACGAATCCGTTAACACACACATTCCAATGATCAAGCGCACACTCATTTTTACTCAGCGATATTGGATTCCGATCAAAGCGGTATGGCCGTCGGAGAATAATCGACGGAAAATGTTTAGAAAAAACCGAGCCGCGAACCGCCCGGAAAAAACGTTTCTCGTCGCCGCGTGGGTACTGCCCGTTTTTATCTGTCGTGGTACGATAAATCGTCTCCAGAGATGACGTTCCATCGTGCACGGTCGCGAAATCCACGGGCGACACGAATCCTCCCAGGGTCGGGTACGGTATTTTAGGTCGCGGGCGAGGTAGGAACGGGGAGTGGGAAGGGACTGGACGCGTATCGTTTAATTAACTCAAGAGGCGCGGGAAGAGTGGCGGACGCTTCGCAAGGGTGTTTAATCTGCTTAATGGTTGCGTAACAACCGTCAATTATTACGTCGGAGGACGCGTAACGGTCGCACGCGATTTCGTCCAAAACGGACCCGTGGCCTCCCCGAAACGTCTCGTGCATCATAACCGTACATTATTCGTACCCGTACGCGCCCGGCAAGCGTTAGCGCGCATCGGTTCCGACGGCGCTCGGTTTGGACAATCGCAATTATATTACAATTAACGTGACAACGTTATGATTGAAAATTACAGGGGCCGACGTCGCCCGGTATACGTGAATCATCGATAACAGAGCGGCCGTTGGACAACATGAGCATCAGCAGAGGGCATTCGGTCGAAAAAGTCCGTTTTTCGGCCAGCAGAGCGCATTCGGACGGTACGTATCTCGATAAAGTGGCGTGTTTTTATTTTTTTTTGAAGTGGGATACATGCGACTTGTGCACTTGCCATAGTCCAAGGTTAAGCTGTTCCCAGGTCGGCACATCATCAAAATATAAACACGTTTTTTTATAAAAGTCATTGATGTGCTGTAAATCAGGTCGATGATACGTGCACTGTACGGGTACTTACGTACCCTAAAGTACGAATCATTATAATTTTGGATATATTTTACGCCCCCTCCCCTCGCGTAAATCGGAATTTTGGTGAAATGAGCCGTTGAGTCGACAATTTAGTAATAGTGTGCCGACTGTTCCATTCTAGAAAAAACTGAAATGACACCACTAAGCCGCTACGAGTGTGTTCGTTTGATTAGTTTTTTTCTTGACAACATAATGATTATTTTTGGTACCGAACACTTGACGAGCTTTCGGTGTCGCTCACGACCGTGACGTTTTTACTATTTTATGCCTACGATTTTGTAATTATGCAACTTATTTTTTCAATCGCAAATTAATTTTGTCTTAGAAATATCTACGTGCAATGATGAGCTCTGGAATTTTTTTTTACAAAAAATCCGTGGTATGACTCTTGATTATCAATGTTTGTTTAGAAAATGATGAGGATTATTCGGCGAGTGTAAATGCGATACTTCATAAACGACTTAGTGTAAGGAAAGGCAAACACCAAAAACAAAGGAGATCATCGTCTCCCGTATCTTCAATGGTACCAGATGATGTCAGTTTATTATCAGACCGTAGAAGATCATCAGCATTTACAACCAGTTCTGGAGAGTAAGTCTTTTTATTTTAATATAACTCAATTGATCAATTATATTTTCTAATTTGAAATTTAAAAAGCAGATCAGGGTAAACATTTAAGAAATGCATAATTCAATCTGATATGTTCTCAAAGCGTTGTCTATCATTTCTTGTTTAGTATAGCAGTGGTTAACAAAATTACTTTTTATCATTAAAAAATATTTATAGTAATATTGTATTCAGTTGCTTTAAATATTATTTTTTTTTTTTTTTTAAGAGATTTCAGCAAAAACTTTAATAGCTTAACAATTATGCTACATAATTATGCAAATGTTTTGTAAAACTGAATTTTTACATTTTAAAGGTAGACCACACATTACCATATTTATGTTAAAATTGTATATTTAATATCTTTTTTTGAGTATTAACTTTATAATAGATGAGTTTAATTAAAATACATAAAAAAAACTTAAAACACAATTGTAACTGTAGTTTTGTAATAAAAAGAAATTGAAAAGGATGTATTATAAATTACATGAGAGATAATCCTTTTCTTGATTTAATTTTTTTTCTTAGTTAATTTAAAGTATATACTTTTGAATACATTTTTAGTGCAACACAGAGTAACAGGATAAAATGTTGTATAATATCTGATACTTCGTATTATAAGTTTTGTACGTACGCTTATGTACGTATTTATTGATAACGTACCACGTATAAAGCTAGTCTACGCGTATAATTACAGCACGGCAATCAATATTGAGGACACGGGCATTTCTCAAGAGCAAATTTTCGAAAACATCCGTCTGCACAAAGAGGTATTGGGCAGTGTCCGTCAACAGCCATGGTCCATTCGGAGAAAGATGAAACTGGTTCAGCAAGCCAAAGAGTACGTGAAGAAACATGAGGGTCAGCTGCAAGAGCGGTTAGCCATGAGCAAGAGCACAAGGGATATTTTAGCAAGGTTCAACATACTCGTGGTGAAGGTAATAATGGAAATAAAGTATATTATACGCTAAAAAGTTTTTTTTTTTTCAAGAGCGACGTTTACGCGGTTCACTTTTGACAATAATCTTGAGTGATACATCTAAAGTGAATTAAATATGAAAAATATAAACGTAAATAGTCGTTATAAGTGATCATCCGCACCGGACGATAAACGAAAATCGGTCAAGTATAACTTTTGTTCACTTCGAGTGAATTGCTCGCGTCGAATCATTAAAAGTGATCCGTGTGAACGCTACTGAATTCTCGACCGATTTAATGTTGTACACGATAACGCGTAGCAATGGCAGCACAGCAAACGAGAGATGGCCAATTTCATAAGTCAAATAATCCCTTGGGAGTTGACCATCAAAGAAATCGAATCACAATTCGGCACGGTGGTTGCGTCGTACTTCACGTTCCTCCGCTGGTTGTTCTGGGTGAACTTTGTCATATCCGTACTGTTGGCGGCTTTCGTCGTCATACCCGAGGTGTGCACGTGTTCAGCGCAACAAACTTTCCTCGTGTTATCCGGTCCGCGAATTAAATAACCCTTTTGCGCGGTCTTGTAGGTTTTGACCACTAAGAAGGCGGACACGGGCGAGCGCAAGACGTTGCTGCCCGAAGAGGAGGCCACTTCGATGGAGCTGATGACTTTGTTGAACTTTGAAGGAGTGCTGCAGCATTCGCCCATATTCTACGGTTACTACTCAAACCGCCAAAGCTCGGACACCGGATACCGTTTACCTACGGCTTATTTTATCACCGGGCTCGTGGTGTACATTTACAGTTTTGTAGCCACACTCAGGAAGTATGACCTCCGGAAATCCGGCCAGCATATAATGCGCAGTCGTTTGAACGGCATTTTTGTCTGTTATATGTTCCAAGGGTTGCAATTTTTTTTTTTTTTTAATTTCAGAATGGCTGCAAACTCCCGTCTGAGCAAGTTGTCCGAGAAAGACGACGAGTGCATTTTCACGTGGAAACTATTCACCGGATGGGATTACATGATCGGAAACGAGGAGACGGCACACAATCGGATTTCTTCGATTATACTAGGTTTTAAAGAGGCATTGTTGGAGGAAGCCGAGAGGATGAAAGATAAACAAAAGTGTGTTTAGCATCGACAACTACAATCGCTTTCACCGAGACGGTTGTTTTACACGAGTTTTTGCGTTTTATTTTGCAGTTGGAAAATAGTGACTCTAAGGGTGTTCGCTAATCTAAACATGGTATGGATGTTGGGTAGTTCGGTGTGGGCGGTTATTTTCGTAGTGGGCAGATCCACTGATTCGGAAGCTGAATCAACAATGTGGAGAAAATACGAAATCACAGTCGTTATGACGCTCATTGGGACGTTTTTTCCAATTGCCTTCGAAGTGTTGGGCGTATTAGAAAGTTACCATCCGAGAACAACACTTCGGGTACAACTTGCCAGGTAAAAAAAAAAAGGAATAAACTTGCATTAGTTTGGCGTAATGAAATTTTATTAGTATAACAAAGTGCTTAGAAAATAAATTTAAAAAGAGATAAAAGAAAAAAAATAATTATTATTTAAAAACCTAGGTATATATTTTATAAAAAATGCATTGTACTGTTCACAAACTAATGTTGAATAAAAATTAACAATTTTTTTTTTCGCATTTAAAAATTGCTTAGTGCTATAATTATAGTTTGAAGGAAAAATGTAATTAAATTAACATTATTTTATTTTCGACGTTGTACAAAAATAGCTATTAAATTTTATAATAACTTCCAGGAATATTGTTTTCAAATTTTAAATATCTTTACTATAGTAAAACAACTTGTGTTGTCAATAAAAATTAATTTTAATATAATTAAATGTGAGTTTACAGAATATACTAATATTGTATTAATCAAAGCCATAAATATGTTACACAATTTAAACGAAATATTATCTTTGTTCGTACCTAAAAAATAGATTTGAAGATTATAATTTGTTTTTATCCGGGCGTGAAATAATATTTAGCCAAATAATATTATATTTATAACATTTAGGTTTAAATTTGAACGTAGGTAACAGTATACGAGTAATATTATTGATTTTTAATTGTTGAAACGTTGATTCATTACTGACATGAGATCAAATGTACAAATCGTCTGACAGTATTATTCACATTGAATGTCATTTATCAAGCATTCACTTTGCATACCAATGAAGAAGATGAGAAAGAAAAAAATATGTTGAAAGAGACGCAGTAGCGTGTTTCGCAAAAAATATTATATTAAATTATAAATTTTGTTTCCGTTTGCAGCACGTGACTCGCGATAAAGAGAAAGTGGTGTGATTTAATATTTCAAAATCGATTGATGGTAAATTGCTTTAAGGTGCCCATCAACTATTCAAGCTTTTTGTATTGAAGGTAACACATCTACACGAAACCGATAAAATATATCGTGGGTCAATTGCATGAAATTTTATCAATAGGGCACGGATGTTGTAGTAATAAAAAAGTAGTAATATTGATTGCGGTATTGTACTAAAATTTATCGAAAATTGAACTTCAAAAATCTAAAATTACACTAAAAAATAATATTTCGTTATAGTTCATAAAATTACGTTTATTTTATTTGTCATAAACTTATTGTAATTTATAAATCACTGATTCATTAGTTACAATTTATAAACATGTATACTTGTATATGAAAAATAAAAAAATTTAAGCTTAAAAATGTTGTTGCAATGAAGTATAAGAAATTTTTTTAAATTTTCAAAATCCAACGTTCTTCGGTTTGGATTCAGTAAGTTTTTATAATTCGAAAAACATCGTTCTACGTCGGTTAATGTGAGCGGAGCGTAATTACTTAAAATAAAATAAATCGCTTACCACTAAGTCTTTGGGTAAACCATCTAACAGTTTTCTTTCTCCAGTCAATAAATCATTCATTATACTTATGGTTTCAAATGTGGTATTTTTTTTTTAATAACTTTAATGAACTTTTCAATATTTTTTGTTATAATTTTATCTGTAAGCATTGTAAATACGACGAATCCGATAGTCGCAATGTGACGAAGCGGATCGATTTTAAAAATAATCAAACTATCTTTTTGACTATACATACAATAATATCAATAGACAATAAAATATATAAACAATATACATCAATACATCATTTACTTCAGGTTTAAAACAATTTGACAGTTTGATTTCATGAAATTTTTATAATGCCGTTTAAAAAGTATTAAAAAAGTGAAATTATGTGAAAAAAAAATTAAAATGGTTTTTATAGATGAGTAGAATCGACAAAATTGAAAAAATTTCAAAATTCGCTAAAATTTACATTTTAAATTTTTATATTTTAATTCGTACATACACGATGCATTTAAAACATACTTAGCAATAAATTGGAACAGTAAAAGAAAAATTGCAAATGCAATATTTGTGCCCTATTTATCAGTTAGTGTTCGTATACAGTATTGTGTCAATAAAACGAACTACGTTGTTTATGTCAAGTTAATTTCTAGATCAGTGTTGGCCGTAATCGATTAATTTACGATTAATCACGTAATCAATTACGATTAATTTATAAAAATTATATTAGTTATAATCGTTTATTCATTTTTTAAAGTAATCAGTAATCATGATTAAATTTTTGTAATTGACAATCATTATTGCCAAAAATATCGAATGATTACAATTTTGTATTAGGTAACATACTATATTTTATTAAAATTAGGGATTTATAAAACGTCAACTATTTATACATTTTAGAGCCACTTATTATCTGCTGATAAGCTATATTTCCATATGTATGTTCCTAATACTCTTTTATCTGAATTTATCTGTAATCTAATGATTTTACATTATTCATTATTATACTTATATTATTATTGTTAAACTATAACTATTGAGGCAATACCTAACTTAATTAATTAAATTTATTATAAAAAAGTTATAAAAATAATAAAAATAATATGTTTTTGAATTGTTAATCGATATTTTTTTCTATGATATTTACCAATATTTACTCGCTATATGTTTTATTTGTTTTTTTTTTTACAATTTCCTACTTATAACCAGAGTTGGGCATTAGTCGAATAAAATATTATTCGATTGATTATTTGAATAAAAAATTATTCTTCATTGATTTATTCTTAATTGTATTATTGATTTTTATTTTTATTCGTTATTTTAATTTGTATTATTATTCGTTATTCATTATTCCCTATAATCATATAAATAATAAATTTAAATCCAAAATAACGATGTATAGTGATAATATACTTATTATTTAGACTTAAATAATATATATAAAGGTAATACATATTAATATATATAATAATTGACAAAAATAAATTAATTATACTTTTATATTTAATATCATTCATGATTTTAAGGAATAAATTTATTCTGAATAATTTTATTCTTTATTCAGTACACCACAATTATTCAGAATAAAAAATTATTCTTTATTCATGAATAAATTAGTTATTCAGGCTTTTATTTTTTATTCATTATTTTGATTTGTTTTTGCCCAACTCTGCTTATAACCAATAAGTGTAATACACAGTGGTATCTACATAAGGTACCAAGTGTTGCAATTGCACTAATTTCTCGTAAGTTCCTGGGTCTACATACGTTTGGGGGCTCCACTCTAGTTTCTGGATCAAATATCATAAATGCATAACTATTCATCTGGATCTTTAGATCATTTAATAAAACGTAAAGAGTTGGCAAGACCAAATATGCAAACAAATATAAATATATAACTAATATAGTTATCAATAATAATTTTGATTGTGTTTGAAGTTAATAACAGGGTTCAGGAAGCCGTCCAAAGATTTATATGCTATTATGTTAATATGTTATGTAACTACTATATAGAAATAAATTATGTTGAAGTGATAAATATATTTTGTAAAACAAGTCAACACATATTAAATGCCTTAAATTAAATTACTAATCAAAATTATTATGTATGTTGTTGTATTATCCTTGAAATATTTCATAATCAACACGTTATTGTATTTGAAAAACTGCCCTGTGTAAAACCAACCGGTGAAGATTGTCTTTTTTTAAAATTTTAAATTCAAATCCCTATTAAAAAAATGATTTATAGAAATTTGCAATATTTTGAAATTGATTTGAGGTAAACATGGAAATGCATTTGGGAAAAAATTATTTCAATCTAACAAATATAGTCGTATGAATGTAGACTACTTTAATCATTTAAAATAATTTGATATTGTAATTATTAATTACATTAATTTATCTTATGATTAATAACTAACAATTGTAATCGTAATCGTTAATCATTAATCTGATGATCTGTTCAACACTGATCTAGATGCGAATCGAAAAACACATTGAACCATCATAGTGCAGACTACCCTTGCCAACATGCATACGATTGGAAGACGATTATCTAACATGCGATTAAATCACATTCTATTTAAATGTATATTTTTATTACATATCGCGGAATTCAATGTGTAGATTTAGTGTCTTGACAATTTTACGGTAACCTAAAAAAATATTACGAACAGAAAAACGTACAATTTATTATAAAACACATTGATTTTCTAAAGAATTCAGTTTGTTTTAACTATCACATTAAGAATTAAATAATTATTTTTTCAATTAATAAACAGTTAGTAAAAATATACATATCTAGAAGACGTAGTGTGTTTTAAATTATAATATTTTCATAAATAATATTAGATCAACAGAGGCGTACATAAGAATATATGTACTAACATTTTTATCCTCTCTTATTAAATTCTGGAGTTTTCTACTTAAGGAATTAATGCAAAGCATCAAAAACGTACTTTTGTCATTGAAATGAGAGTATATTAAACAAAAATCATACGGTAAACCAACTTTAGGTTTTTAAAAAGTTTCGTTACAAAAATTATTTAGCGTTTAATGTTATGAAATGTAGTCTAAAGTTTTTATTGCTTCACGAGATTAAACAAAAAGTGAACTAAAACAATGAAGTCGGAAACATTATAATTTATGTTTGATTTTTTTTATTCAAATCAACAATCATTGAAGTTTTTACATGTTCGAGTCATATCAATATAATAAGAATGCACGTGAATTGTTTTTTTTTATAAAAAAACCAATTTTGCTTAATTTATGATTAATAAGTAAAAGAATATAACAAAATATGAATAAATTACTATTATATTATGAAAATAAAAGATTATAATTTTATAACACTTATAAATTAATATTTTAATATATTATGATTGAAAAAAATTATAATATAACATTTATAAGTTTAGGAAGTCGGTACACGGCAAATTTTAATAAGTACTGGATAGGCATTTTATGTACTTTAGCTTTTTAGCTGTGTAAGAAATAAAAGAACATCAGTGTGAGTAGACTATTTTGTGAATTCGTCCAATATTAAAACAGATTAGCAAAACCAGTTTGCGAATACACGACCGACACGGGCGGCTGCTGTCTGCCAAATATTTAACTCTAACATTTAACTCTATAACGTAGGAATAGTAAATACAAAAATTACCGCTCATAAGAAATTTTATTTATCTTATTTTATTATATTCTTTTTAAATCATTTTTCGACTGAATACATATCAATAATATAATATTTTCATGATGTAGAGAACTAAGTAGTTAATAAAAATGTACGGAGAAATAAAAAAACGAAACTATAAAACACGAATGTACGATTTATTCACTTAACTATTCTCAGCTCGTTTCTATTTAAATTTTTTTAGAATGCATTCGATTTAAAATATTTACAATTTAGGTTCCATATTTGTTTTTCAAAAATTATCGTCTCTAAGAATTTTTTACCTAATTACCTAATCGAAAATATAAATATTATTAAATTTAGGTGTATAATACATTGTATCTAACACATAAAATATGTTGAATGACATACCTTTGTATACTGCTCTATTATATAACTATTGTTTAAAATTACTAATAGTATTTATAATCAATGATAAAACTATATAAATTATTGATACCAACAGGGGCGGATCCACAGTTGGAGAACTGTGAGTCAATCGACCAAGATACCACTTATTAGGGCTGAAACTGGATTATAAATATACATTTTTGTAAAAAAAAAAATACAATAAGATCATATAGTATGTGTTTTTAAGTTTATTCATAATTTTTATTGGAAACATTCATATTTATTTTATTTTATAGAGTCTTACCTGGCTTAGAGCTGTTTTACTATATTATACAATTAAACCAGTGGCATAATTTGGGGGATGACAACTGAGGCATTTGTTCCAGTTTGGTATTTATTTCAACCTAAGTCGATATATTTCAAAAATATAAGTAATCTTTAAGAGACCGATTTTGTCAACAAGTATTAACTGTGCAATTAACCTCCTGACACCCCCCTCCCCCCTATAGATCTGCCGCTAGATACCAAATAAATACTAATCGATATAATACGTACTTACACCTATTTCTAGAATATTACTTTATTTTGCTGACTAAATTCTTAGATCGAATAATATTTTATATTGTCTATTCTAATTTCGATTTTATTCGTACATTCAACACATTAAATATTATTTAAATGTCTAATGAGTGTTAATTATTCTATTTACTAACTGGTTTTGCTAATATGTTTTGATATGGGACAGATTCAAGTAATTATCTACACATACTAATGTTCATTTATTTCTCACACGTAGTCAAGGCCAAAAGGTACATAAAATTCCTATCCAATGATCCTAAAAATCTGCCAAGCTCCAACCATTTGCTACAAAATAAACGAAAATTCAACTGTTTCAGAGTTTTAAAATATTAACGTTCTGTTTCAAAAAATTATAACACTAATTGGATGAATAAATGTAAGCATGGTCTTTGAAATATCTGTAACATATTTCAAGTACTGAAAAAAAAAACGAATTTCGTACATATATATGGGTACACGTGTAAATGGATATACATTAGCAATGTAAATGTTGATAATTGGACTGGCAAGACCCCAAAGATAATAACTTAGTTAACGAGTGCAAAATGTTTTTTTTCTACCTTCACGATATTCACTTTCGGACGTATATTTATCAAAAGCATTTTAATAAGACAGTACGCAAACAAACTGAAAAAGTTTTTTGTTTTTATTAAAAATAAAACGCATAAAGTTTTTATCTAATTTGTTACTTTTTTTCTTTAGCTATACTCAAGAAGTTATCATACCTAAAAGCGTATCTATTGTAAATATTTTAATTGTTTTGTTGAACGAATCGTCCGAGCGGCTCGTAGTCAGTAATAAGCAACGGTCGCATTTTACAAATTGTCGTGGTGTATAAAAAATAAAAATAGTTTCGGTTCTCGATAGCATGATGCCCGTGGAGAAAACACGGTTATGGATGTCCGCGTGGGAAATCCGATTGTTGTTTAGAAATCTTGAATTAAATTTGATGCAAAAAGGTCTTGTGCAACTCGACTCGGGAGTAATTAAAATTTAATTAAAAGCCCGTAGCGCGCTCGGGGCAAGGTTCGCCGAGCTTTTAAACGCGACGTAGGTACTCGTGCGCGAGCCTCGGTACTTTCGCCGCAAAATTAAATCATGCGTGTGAGCGCAACATATTATATGATGGATTGTACAGGGTTTGTAGCTCGCGCACGGTCGCGAAGGTGCCCCGCATACTTAAGGGTTGGTTGAGAGAAGTAGCGTGGGGAGGACTTGCGTCCGTTTGATTCGTCAAACGTTGCGCGCCTGCTACATATTAATGGTAAACTGATGTCACATTCGTTGTATGTTCTAGGATTATGGCGCTGAACTTGTTAAATCTATATACACTGACGTTCGCGTTATTTGTGAAAATCAACGAAATGGTGAGTAATACTTGTTAAAGCCGTTCGATTCGTTAATTATTCGTGTGCGAGACGGCGCGGACGTACGCGCGCGAAAATTACGACTAAGCCGATCGCACGAGGTGGATCGAGTGAATTGCGTGCAGGGTAAATGCATTTGAACGTTGCCCGTGAATATTACATTATTTTTATGTTGGCTTTCTGTGTCATGAAAAAAAAAAATTCATTCCAATCAAGTTTTTAATAAAGGCAACAACGTTTCCTACGTATAATACCTTCAAAAGACCTTTGAACGTTAAACCCATAGCATTCATGCGGTATTTACTCGCAGAGCAATGGAATTTTTTATTTTTTTTTATTTTTACTTTTTTTTTTTTGGTTATTTTACGATAAAGAAGTCATGTTGTTTTGATTACTGTGTAAAATGTGTTTTATCTATTCGTTTTTTTTCTTTCTTTGTTCATATTTTATTATACTCAGCTTCTCCATCATTGAAGACCGGTGAAAAATGTAATCTATTAAAATAACGTACCATTACATCCAATATTAATTACGTCTAGACTAAAGTAAAATTTATTTTGTAAACGGTTTTTATATTTTACACACCAGTAGGTCATTAGGTCTGTATTAAATAATAGTATTTTCTTCTACTATAAAAGATTTTTTTTAAGAGAAAACGTTGTTTTTTAGTTTCTTTGACGTATTGTAAATAATTGAATTTTTATGTTGTGAATCATAACTATCAAAATCCTGTCGAAAAGAAAAAATATTGATAGTTGAAAATCGGAGAAAAACTCAATCAATGTTATAAAAATCCTAGGATTATACCTTAAAATATTATTTTTATAGCATGATATTAATTTTGTAATACAAACGAACGCTTTATAATGTATGATCCCAATTTATTATTAAAAAGAAGTAACAACAATTACAACATCTGCATTTAGTTAGCATAATAATCCTTATGTAAAATTGATATATTCATACTCGATATTTTAACAAAAATATAATTTAATTTTATACTTAATGCATATTATACCTTAAATTTCTGTAGTATTTTGTTTTACAATGGTATTACTAAGCACTACAGTTAGTGATGTAGATAAGGAAGGGAAAGCTTCACCTTAATTGAATTTTAAAAATTTACATGTTATTCGATACCTCAGATAGTTACTATGTGATTTATACATAGTTTAAGTACATTGTACTTAGGGTATTTTAAATTAATTTGCTAAATATAATAAATGTTTACAAGAAAATATATGTTAGAGATTTATTAAAATTAAAAGTAATGTAATATTAAAATTAAATCATAATTAAACAGTAAAATATAATAATTTAAATTCAACAATAGATATTAAAAGGATATGCTCTTTGGACTTCAATAAATATAAATTATATAATGTTTTAATCCATCGAATGAGACTGATATAGTTTTAAAAATCATTTATGTGTTGGCATGTTGCTATCTTATATGCTGTATTTATACCGTATAGCAATCGGTTATTTTATGAATTTAAAATGCAAGCTAATGTAGGCTTATTCGTATGAAGTCTTAAACAAAATTACCTAATTAAAATTACGTGTATACATATTTTCTCTTATCACGAGTTTAGTATAACTAATAAAAACTACTATACTTTGAACTTTTCTTTGAGATATTAGGCAAATTTTAGTTCATTAAATACTCTTACAAAAAAAAAATAAATATATAAATTTATGTGGTAGAAGCTAACATTATAATTTACTTGATTTTATTTACGCGTTCTAATTTTTTATGAATTCTAAATGTATTAAAAAATATTATGTTCATAGAACTAATTTTATTAGTATTGTAACTATTTTACTATGAGATATTAAATTACTGATAAAAAAATTTATATATTAAGAATACCCTCAACTCCTTATATTTTTGATACTTTTAGTTTCAAATTTTTTGATTTCGAGTGAAACAAAGAATTTTTTTTTTATCATTTTGTGTATTTATTTTTTTTTATCGTGTACATAACACACTATTTTGACCAAAAGGATTACACCGATTATCACAATCATAAAAGTAAAAAATAAGTTCTCAGTTTCTGATTGTCATTTTTTGAATTTCTCAATAACTTTCCGAATAACTGAGAAAGACTGAAAAAAATTGCACAAAACTTTATCCAACATTGAGATTTAATCTATACATAACCTAAATTATTAATTGCTCAACTCTACATATGCGCGGGGAAAATACTATGGTACATTTCAGGAGTTTTAATAATCATCTACCTGGAATTATTCCATACCATTTTTCAATTTTTGTATTTTTACCAACAAGAATTTTTTAAAACCTGTCGGTTGTTGTTTAGTGGTGGTAACAACACAACAATATCATACTATAATATACTACTCATTATGTTTTACAGACGAAGGAGCTGCTGTTGTTGAAGCCAACATTATTGAATGTGACCGTGCCGACTGTTATACCGAAATTAATGAGTACCACGTCGATAATGATGACCATGGCTCTACTCAACTCCACTATGTCAACGACGCCGATGGCTGCCTCTACCACCACTACGGGATTTTTGCCGACCACCGATTCGACTTATTTGCAGCCAAATTGCTATCGGAAAATTGTTGAATGTCCATTTCTTCTGAACCAATCGTTAGGTGGTCCGACAGCGGTCACGACTTCGACCTCGACAAATGTTATGCCAGCCAACGTAACGCAACCGGTCGGAAATACGTCGGTCATGGCCGACGGAATTGCGACGGATAGACCAATAACGACAACAACTACGATGACGATGACGACGACGATAACGACGAGGGCGGCGGGTTTCGTTTCTGGCGTCGGAGCAGAAACAGAACTCGACAACGAAGGTGGTACAATTTCTGTTACCACGGGCAACGTCAATTGGACTATGAGCTCCAATCCAAAGGACGAGACCAGCACTGAGATGGAATACGATAATGATATCAACGATTTACAGATAACCGCCCATATCGTGTACGACACCTCGTCCGAAGATGTCGCGACCAAATCGAACTCCCAAATCACGTCCGACGTGTCAACCGCGGAATTGACCGACGGCGCAGAGCCCGACTCGACAAGTGCGACGATCGAGTCGGTCGGCACCAAGCTCACTTGGAGCTCGTTTGCCGCCGAATCGGTACCGGACGCGTTCACCGAACCCATTATACCAATATTCGACCCGGAGTCCGTAATGATGGTCGATGGTGAATCGATGATCCCGGTGTTGGACATCACCGAATCGACGATCCCCGATACGACGACCGATCGATCGATCTCCGACACGACGACCGATCAATCGATCTCCGACACGACGACCGATCAATCGATCTCCGACACGACAACCGGTCAATCGATCTCCGACACGACGACCGATCAATCGATCCCCGATACGACGACCAGTCGATCGATAATCGTCAGCGAGACGATCGCGACTGACCAGCCGTCGGGCGACAGCACTCCAACGGTGCGGAAGAGAGTGAAGCGAACCCCGGAAGACGTGATATTCACAGGAAAGCATTGCTATCAGATCGTTTGTTCGCCACGGCCGACGGCGGTGTCGAACGTAACCGAGGTGCCCAAGAGTTATCAAGGGTTCAGCGAGACACCGAGTAAATACTAAAACTTAAATTACCGCTTGCACATTTAGATGATGATGGTGTCAGTCCGGCGACTAGAAATCTCGAGAGACTATCAAACCGTTCAATGGAAACGGACGTGATTTAATCAAATACGGCCTTAAGTGGTTACGGTTTATTGCGCAATACGCGAGCATAAAAGTTCCTAGACCAATAGAAACATACACGCATATACTTTTTATAGTACACCATTCGGCCCATAAGATCAAAACCTCTTTCGGATTTTAATCATTTCGTTTGAACAACAGTACTAAATATTTTGCGGAACAATACCATATCATAGTTGGTCCGTTCTGAGTAGATTATGGTCATGATATTAGAAAAATTGACGAAATATGTGACTTGAAAGAAATGTTACGGATACATTATATTTATAGATTTCAATAACAATTTCTTTAAATTTAATATTTTTATCGGCGTGCACATTTTTCCTATAATACCAATCTATTATAATGGAAAGCAAATTAATTACGACTCCGGATGTTTCTATATATATAGATTGTTTTCTTTTATTATTCATATTTATTTTTTTTTATTTTAAAATGTTTTGACATTTTTTGTGTTAATTATCAAACACGTAATGAATTATTTGAAATATTAAATAAGTTGTAACTATTATTGTATATTTATACAATACTGATTTGAGCGAAAAAGTTTTGGAAGGATCGTAATTATTACTATAAGTAGGTAAAATTTCTTATTCTGTGTTATTTAATAATATATTCCTCGGAATCTTATCTCTATATGTTATCTTTACTCAAGAATTTAAATGTACAGATTTATTTAGAATTTATAAATAATCATATAATATTTTTAAGTAGTTAATTATTTTTTCTTTTGGTTTATTTTATATGCTTGAAATTATATTTTACTTCGTAAACAGATATAGTATGTAGAATAATGTCTCTAATAGAGCTAATAATAGTTTTTAAAAGTATTTTTAATACGAGTGCAATTGTATACACTAAAAAGCTACCCGCAATTTTAAATATCAATAGAAGTTTAATAATATAATATTTTACCTTTATTTCGTAATAATTGTGTACTTATATTTAATTATAAACATTTCAAAATCTTTGGTGTGCAATTTATTTGGCCAAACATTTCAGATAAATAAATAAAACATTTTTCAAAGACAATGATTTATTATCGTTTTAAAACTCAAAGGCTTCGCTACTCATACATCTCAAGACTTGTATCATGGCTTACTTTTTATACCAGATTTATATAATTTATTGTTCTTTTGGTTTACTTTATACAATATTATTTTCTTCGATTCAATTAATTTTAAAAATATTCTGATAATCTATAAGGTTTTTTTATTAGAAACAGTCAGTATTACAACGTACATGTGTTTTATCTTTAAATCAAGATTGAATACATACAAATGATTCGACATTAGAGTAACACAAAATTTATAATATTTAGGTTTAAACAAGTAATATGTGTGTTTGTTTAATATTGTTATAAATGTATATTGACGTGCTTACAGACGAGGAGCACATGACGACGACGGAACATGAAGATGCGCCTAATGAAGACTTATCACTTCATGCTACTTGTTTAGATCTTCAGACTAGACGACGGCTGCGGAAGTTGTGTTGGGAGACAATGTTCGGGCAAGAGTTGGTAAAACTTACAGTCATGGACTTGGTGAGTAAACAATACACAAAGTAACAATACGTATCCCCCATAATAATACTACTATAAACACTTAATAAATAGTGCAAAGTTTTTAATGAATATATAATTAGAGTTTAAATGTCCTGTTATACCGTTCATATAATGTTAAAGTTAACAAAAAATATAGAGTCGATGTCAAAGTCGAATGAATAAAATAAAATGTTCTCACTAGTTGTAACGCAGTTGAATAGTTATTAAAAAATATATATATATATATATATATATATATATATATATATACAGTAGAAGTCTTTTTTCAAGTTACAGAAGTGAGTAAAAAAAAACTTTGATTTTTGAATAATAAATAAAACAATTTACAATTCAATTGAGTTACAAATTGCAAAGCATAAAAATTGAAATACAAATTGAATTTTCCTAATACATTTCTGAACTAAATTTGACTTTTCTTTTACTTATTCATTATTATTATTTTTTTTTTTATTTTAATTATTTTGACTGTTTTATAATCATAAAATTTGAATCATGTACACATATAAGTATAATTTAACTTGATGAAAGACGATGTTACTTTGATCAATTAAAATTAGATAACTATGTTTATAAAAAATAATTTTAGTGATAAAACAATCAATAATTAAATAATACATTTATTGAAATTCTGCAATTTTAAATTAAATTGTTGTTTATAAAATTATTTTGACGATACATTTATAAAACATTAGCTGACCCGACAAACGTTATTTTGTCATAAAAATAATTTCTAGAGAATATTTTGCTAGAAAAAAATAACTAATTTAATATAAATGTGTAAGGATGTGGTATATAAGTGGAAGAGGTATGGAGTGCTGTGAACGGTGACGGAATATAAAAATGAAAAAACATGAAACATTTTTTGTTTTAATAATTTATTAAAATTGATCCTTTAAAATTATATATATCGCTAATTATGACAATATTAGTATAAAAACAATATCAATTTTTTAATGCAACAGAGTGTATAATATTTTTTGTTGTCCCATCTTTCGCCAACACAAACAAACTGGATGGTTCGAGAGCACGCCACGTACTCATATAATTGACCGTGTAAAAAACATGATATGCTCAAATCTAAGCCACAGACATACATCGTTTGGCTTTATGACTTATTAATAGTCAATGCCAATCTAATTGGAAATTGAAGGCTTTAAATTGTATTTGCACCACTGTGGGTATAATAGAGATTCACGGTAATAATATATTTTCACCTCGGAATTTGCCATTTAAAATTATGTCTTTGATAACATTTTTCATTATTTTTTTAATGACTGTGGTGGGTTCAAATTACGAAGCAAAATAATCGGAGATCCAACTTTCAGTTGTTAATTATGCTGTAGCATTCCTAGTAAATCCAATGAGTTTAAAAACTCTGTTGGATAATTTACAGCTTTAGAAGCATCGCAAACTGTATCAATAGATTTGTATGACACCAAGTCTCCTGGTAACAAATTTTGTATCTTGAGATTCAATTCGTTGACGTCCACATTTTTTGCTGCTAAAATTGCTGTTTCTGCTAGCAACTCATGAATTGTGTATTGTTTGTGTACATTGGGAAATATCTGGTCAATAAGAAAATCCTGCGAATCAATGATTGTGCAGAAATCGGTCGGCAATTGTATGCATCCCGTTTCATCTGTAGTCCATCACCGATATTTAGCAATTGTTTTGAGAATCTTCCGCACGCAGCTTTTTTTGATTGAATCACAAGTATCAAAATCGTTCGCTCTCTATCTTTAGATAAATGTGGACCATGAATTGTTAATAAATCTCACGACATCGTAGAATGACGTTGTCCTGATTGCGTATAATCATCAACTGATATTTATAATAATCCTTCGAACTAACATTCTTGTTTGTTTTGACACCTGTTGCGGGATCTTGTTGTTTAATATTTATGCAATACCCGTTATTTAATACCAAAAATAAAATTAATAGTTTTTAAATAGTTTTTAATAGTTTTTTAATCATCATCACCATCACTGGCTTTTATAACTCTATTAGAGTTTTTGCCGCCAACACTATGTCCCTCCATTTCTCTCGATCTTGTATAATTTCCTTCCATTCTTTTACTCCCACTGTTTTAAGGTCCTCTTCTATTATGTCAAGCCATTTTTTCCTTGATCAAAAAAATAGTTTTTTAATAATTTTATTTAATAATTCATTTAATAGTTCATTTTCAATTCCGCAGTTATCGACCGGGTCAAACATTATTAAATTAAACTACGATTTATTAAAGAATAGCACTTGGGAGTATATAAAATAAATGAAAACCTATTCGCAGACCTATCAAATGTATATCCAAAAAATATTGTTGTAAAAACCTTTTCCTGGAAATTACGAACAATTAAAAAAATTTGAGCCAAATCGGCTTAGCTGTTCACAATTGATTAAATGTTATACATTTTTGGCTCCATTTTTATATACATATATAGATTCACTAACTATTATTTAAAAAGTATAATCTTACAATTTACAAACGTAAACCAATATTTACATACTCATATATTTAAATGTTGAATTTTAATTGGATTTAAGTTATTATAATACATTTCGCTCTATCCGTGAACCTTACGTATATATGTACTATTTATATATATAATATAAAGCTCCTCAAAGATACCGCCTTGTCATGCCCTATGATCGGTCTTCGGTAGAAAGTAGATGTGTAAAAATAATATAAGCAATAAGAATTCTTAAATCATTTTTAGATAAAGTTAAACATATTTCATTTGTAAATAAATTATATTTGGTTTAACTATAGAGTTTTATATAGTTTAGTTATACACTTTTTTTCATACATACACACATGCATGCATGTACATTAATTTAAGGGGTTATATATAATATGTCACATATACTACAACTTTCTTTCTAAGATATTTATTACAAACATCGCACAGTTTTTATTTGGATTTACTTATTACATATTTTATTTATTTTATTGGAAAATTCAAAACCATTGGAATAAGTATCAATAAGTGTCACTTCCGAACTAACGTAATTATTGTCGGGCATCGCGTTTATTTGATTTCGCGTTGTGAATCAAGATTTATGTCTGTCAATGTAATTTCAGTTTACACCGAATAAACATGAAGTATTAGTACCTTGATATTTCGTCGTATTGAAATTTATTGTACTCGTATTATGTAAATTACTCCAGGTGTAATGTACATTAGATTTAACACATCTGACTTACAGTTATTGGAATTATGTTAATAAAATAATAATATAACGTTTAATATAGTGATATATTCCGCATCGCTAAAAAGTTATTATTTTTATTACACTATTATGTGAGTTTTATAGACCACGGAGAATTTTTAATTTTTTTTTATCAGATATACATGGTATGTCGGTACTTATTTGTGTTTTGGCGTTTTTTTATCAGTCTTTAATATTTTCAATTCCATAGACAACTAATTCTTATTATTATCGACAACCCGTAGATGACCTTTTAATGAAAACAAAATTAGCGGACAAATAGAACTCATCTCGGAGCCATTACCGATGAAATATGAAACGATATTTTGACAGATCGACTATGCCGTAGTGACTTATTAACAATTATCATCATAATTCAACTCTCTGGAACTTATTTGAATGATTATTGTTATAACTAGATATTCATGTTTAATAAAAAACAATTATTTCTTAGTGAATTTAACAACAATATTAAACCATACAATTTTACAATCGTAAAGTTCATTTCAAGAGCATGTTGGTACATAACTATAATACAAACGAATGACGTCAACTATATTAATAACCATTTATATTATTTTATGTGTAAGATATCGTTGTATATGATCTTTCAAAAGTTACATATGATATACAAAAACCATGTATGAATGATTTAAAATTTTTATTTTTTTCATTGAAATACAATAAATAAAAATGGTTTGACATTCTGGTGAATTGTCTAGAAGTTGTTTTTATTGAAATATACAAATTACGTTAAAAAAATTATAATTCTATAATCACTTATTTTTGTTTAATTATATGAATACAATTTATTTTAAATTGTTTAATACTATTAAGTGAAACCTACTATAAAAATAATCATTGAGTTATTCATATTGTTTTAATGCTGTACATTCAGTTTATGTATTTTGAAATTAAAATTATAAAATTCGAAGTTGTAGCTACACAATATTTTAACAAAATAATTATAGCACTTATCATTTTTTTTTTTTTTTTTTGATAAATGGTTTTCTAAATGTAATGTTTAAAGGGAGTAACCAAAATTTTCATGGGATTTCCTGAAACTTTGCTGATTTAAGTTTTTAGAAGATAAAATTAATTAAATACTAGTTCAATTTTTTAATTTTAATGTTTCAGCGTTTTTAGAAGAATATAGTGTTTGAAAATCTGAAATAAAAATAAATCATGTTTCTTAAATTTTGTAAAATCATGAAGATTTATTTGGATGAAAAATTAATATATTTACATAAATACATACATGAATATATAGTTACACATTTGAATTAAATAAATATCTTTGGAAAATACAATGAATTATTACAATTGAATATATTTGTATATATCAATTTTTAATTAAAACTAAAAATGTTATGCATTTATGTTTTAATGAGAACTAATCCATACTTGTGAACGTCACGGACTCATGTAGTACATTTATACCTATGCATTATTACATTTTATATTAACTGTCACATGTAATTTGATAGACCTTTTACACTTAATATGTCTATAGTTAAATTATAAGTATAAAAAAATATTCATATTTTACGACTTACAAAATATAATACTGCGATAACCATGAGAGAAAAAATATTGTTGCAAAGCATTTTTACTTTCAAAAAAATATAGTTAAAAAAATATAGCATTTATGCAACGTTAAATTCTGAAATAAAGAATAAATTTTAAAAAACATTAAATAAAGAAAGATTTTATGAATTGTTTAAGCTTAAAACCGTGAGTGAATTTACGGGGTCGCTAAAGTAAAGTATCAG